AACCACTGCGCCACCAGGGAAGCCCTGGATGTGCCTTTAAAATATTGATATTATGCTAAATGAAAGAAGCCAGACACAAAAGGCCATATGTTGTGTGATTTTATTTATATGAAATGTCCAGAATAGGCAAATCCATAGAGATAGAAAGCAGATTAGTGATTGCCAGAGGGTTGGGGGGAAGGTGGATAGAGAGTGACTGCTAATGGTGTGGGTTTCTTTTTGTGGTGATAAGATGTTCTGGAATTAGACAGTGGTGATGGTTCAGAACTTTGTGAATATAATAACAAACTATTGAATTATACACATTAAAAAGAAATAAGTAAAATTCTAAAACCAGAAAAAAAGATAGTAACACTGACCTATCAGGCCATTGGCTGTTAACCTGGATGTCAAATTGCCGGCTCCAGAGCATACAAACTCCAACCCATCATCCAGGGTACACACCAGAGAGACAAATTCAGATACACAGTTCATTCTCTGATCAAGACGTGATACCTCTGCAATGAGTAAAGGGACACAGTGAACACTTCCCCATCTTCTTGGATGGAGACACATACCTCTCTGCTTTTTGAAAAATGACAAACCTTCCTCTTAGACAAACATCTCATTGTGTCCCGTGGTCTCCCGCAGGCACATCTGTTGAGTGTGAGAGGGTCTGGGTCAGCAACGAGCACTTTGTGTGTGTGTGTGTGTGTGTGTACACATTTAGTTTTATTGTAACAAAGCAACTTGTACACTTTTAACCTTTAAAGCTGAGCATCATCTTTCCAGTGAAACAAAAAGAAAAATTTTTAAATAAACAGGAACAAAATTACAATAGAGAATGTCAATTGCAAATAAGATCCTACAGGTTCTGCTGATTCTCCCATTGAGTGGCAGGGCTCAAGTCATCTTTAGGAGAGAATTTTATTTTAAAAGTGTCATCTTAAACTGCAAGGATGTCCCTTAAACATCACAATTAAACATGTCAAAGGAGAGACCATGCTGTCAAAATGCCCACTTAACCCACCCAAACATCTCAAACCCACCCTTTGCTGACCTTCTATAACCCCATTTTTTAAAGTTTTTTTTTCTTTCTTTAAACAAGAGAAAGTAGATGGATACATGCTGGTAAATGCTAACTGTCCATATTCACATAGAGACACAGTGTAGTCTCTGAGCCCAATCAATATACAGAGACAGGAGGAAAAAAGCTAGAATTCTATGCATTACTACACAGGGGCCTAGCACCCTCCAGCTTCCAGCAGAGCTAAGGGAGCAGAAGGTTTTTCTTTTTTCCCACAGAGCATGGTGGTATTGATTCCATAAAGTTTTTGTTGAGACAGGAAGGGATAAAAGTGAACTTGGAACAGAAAGGGGTAGAGATTCTTTTCCCACTGAATTCTGCTCAAGGTATTTCCCCCCCAAATAAGTTGTGAGCCACGGTATAAAGAAGAAAAGAGACCTCAAAAACAGGGCGACTGAGCACAAGAGGAGGAGGAGGAGAAAAAAAAAAAAAAAAAGACTGCAACATGCTCCCAGGGACTGGAGAAAATTTAAAAAGGAAGGTTGGAATCCATCAGTGTTCCATTAGTCATCTTCTCCTTCACCTTCCTCTCCTTCCTCCCCCTCATCATCATCTTCATCTTCTTCACCTTCAGCCTCATCCCCTTGTTCATCAACATCTTCCAATCCTTCTTCCTCTCATCATCGTCATCTTCTTCTCCTTCCTCATCATCCATGTCCGGGACCAAGTAGTACTGTAATGGATTTGGCCAAATATCATCTTTGATGACCTCTCCTAACTCATCTGCACCTGCATCAGAATGATCAGTAAACCAGGTGAAGAAGCTTTCTGGTTCCTCTTGCTGTCTCTTCCTCTGGCTTTATTCTGCGTTTGACTTGAACGTTTTGTCAGATCCTTTCTGGATTTCCATTTGATTTCAGTGGACTTTGAAGATGGATTACCACTCTCATTCAGGTGAAATTCTTTGGAGAGAACTTTATTTTCGAAGTAAGGGTTTTCATCAAAATAAAAATCTATTCTGTAACCTGATTTCGTATCTTCAAATTCTGTCACTTCGACTCTTGTCAAATAATGCAGTGCCTCTTCATCCTCCTCCCCAAGCAGTGTAGACACTTGTGGATGGTTAACAAACGTTGTTACCCCAAAATTTGGGATTTGGGCGATCAATTCCAACCTCTTCTGAAAAAATGGTTGACGGAGTTTGTTACATTTCTGTTCTACTTCCAAAATCTCCTCACTGGCTTGTTCCTTAAGTCTGTCTATTTCATTTTGTACTTCATCAATATGTTCAATTGCTTCTTGCTGTTCTTTTTCTGAGGTCTCCTCAGCCGCCTCCTGCTGGCGCTCACTGGCTCGCTTTCCCTCCCCCTGGCTCGCGCGCTGCCCTCATGGCCTGATGACGCGGGAGGGGCTGGGGCAGCATGCTGGGCCCAGCCCGGGCTCCTGCTTATGGAGGGGAGGCGATGGCGAGCAGGCAGGCGGCTCAGCTCCCTCCCTCACTCTCCATGCTGCAGCTCGCTGCTCCATCTCCCGGAGCCGCCTCCTCCTCCTCAAGCATCTTTATGTATCCGGCAGGCGTCTAGATGGGGGGCTGGGTCCCCTCGTGACAACGTCTGCTCCGAGATGGACTTCTTCCTGCCCTTTTCATGAACGGCTCAGGGAGGCCAGGCCACCAGCTCTCAGCAGCCTTCACGTCTGGCCTTGGATGGGTGCCTGACTCACATATGTGAACACACCCTGCAGAGCCTTGAGTGGCCTTCATCTTCCTCACTGGTAGAATAATGGGGTCATATTTGACCAGGGAGATATGAAGAGTGTTCCAGGGAGCATCACCTTCAGAGAGGTAGGAGGTGAGACTTGGGGAGTGCTATTAGACACTGTAAAGCAGGCTCCTCGTCCACAGGACCTCTCCGGGGCTTTAACTGCTAAAGTGGGAGGCAGGATGTTTATACGGATTAAGAGGCAAACCCTGGAGCCACACAGCGATTTGGGCATTCATTAGCTGTGTGACCTTGGGCAAATGACCCAATCTCTCTGAGCCTTAGTTTCCTCACCTCTAAAATGAGAGTAACAAGAGTACCACCTCCTTTGGGCTTCTTCCCTGGTGGCGTAGTGGTTAAGAATCCAGCTGCCAAAGCAGGGGACACGGGTTTGAGCCCTGGTCCGGGAAGATCCCACACGCCGTGGAGCAACTAAACCAGTGTGCCACAACTACTGAGCCCACGTGCCACAACTACTGAAGCCCACACGCCTAAAGTCTGTGCTCTGCAACAAGAGAAGCCATCGCAATGAGAAGCCTGCGCACCGCAATGAAGAGTAGCCTCCACTCGCCACAACTAGAGAAAGCCCGCAGGTAGCAACGAAGACCCAATGCAGCCAAAAGTAAATAAAATAAAATAAATTAAAAAAAAAAAAAACCTCCCTCCCAGTGAGGCTGGGAGGCTTCAATGTGTCAAAGTGGGGCTAGTCAATTACCATTCTGCGAATCACCGCTTGGCCTTGGCCCCTGTGGCAGCTCAGAAAGAGCAGCAAATTGTGCCCTGTTGGATATGAAGGAGTTTTCCAGGGACAGGGGAAGGAGGAAGGAATCCAAGGCAAAGGGAAAAGCAGGCACAAAAGCATGGAGGCACGACTGGCTGTGGTGGCCTCGAGAACTGCTGAGATGCAGACCTGTGGGTGACTCAGGCACGGTGAGTGGGGGAGGGAAGGAGGCAGCAAGGGAGCAGCTGGAGAGGGGGCTGGGCCACAGCAAAGTCACTGGGAGTCACAGAACAGCTCTGGAGAGCATCCGGCCACTGCCACGAGTAATGGAGGAGAGCAATGAAGGTGCTATGTGCGTGGGGAGGAGGGGCCAGCTGGACACGACCCTTCTCTCCCCCAGCCTCGTGGCTAAGAAGGCCCTCCCTCCTGCAGGGGATGTGAAAGGAGACCTCCTGGGGCCGGCAGTCAGGCTCAGGAGAGCTGGGAGGGCTGTCAGACAGCCAGGGGAGCCCCGGGGAACTGGAGCAGGTGAGCATCGCACTTGAAGCTATGCACAGCGAGAGGGTGCAGGCAGCAAACAGACTGTTTTGAACTAGGAATTAGATTCACATGGCATAAGATACAAAAAAGTCATGGGGCCAAAAGGCAGAAGAGGTAACATAAGGGGGTGGGAGCAACCTCTGGGCCAGTTTCCTTTCCTAATAAGTAAAATAAAACTAGGCCCCAAAGTGAGGTCAAGCCTTTCTCCTTGGGACCAAGAGAATGGACAGATGCTCCTGAATTTGAAGAGCACCAGCCTGCGTGAAGTCAGGAAGGAACCACGCAGGCAGAGAGCAGTCAGGCCCCAGGTCTGGAAGCGGAGGAGTTTCAACTCCCCCTCCGGGAACTGCAGCTCACCCTGGCTGCTCTTACTCCAAAAACTTAGGAAAGGAAAAAAAGTAGGAAAGAATTAAGATTCCACACCTGGCAGTTTTAACTTACAAAAAAAGTATTTATTAATCTAATTTTCCTTCTCTTGCCATAATCCAGAAGCATGACGCTGACGGCCTGACATATCAGTGTGAAGTTGTCGAAAGCCCCACCAGTCACTGATTCCAAAATTCCATGACTGGCCTTTGTTAGGCAACAGGACTGAAGTTACAGCATGGTTTCAAGTCCATACAGGAAGCCCACCAACCCCAGGGTCTCCCACACCTGCCATGGCTCACTGGGTGGGTTGTGGAGCGTGAGAATCAACAGCACCGAGCAGACGGACCGAGAAGGCTTCGGGCAGAACACTGCTGCGGTGTACTTCCCCTGACAGAAGCCGGAGCTGTCCACCCGCAAGGCTGCTCGGTCACAGGCCTGGTTCCCTGGGAAGCATCTCTCTTTGGCCGAGGGTCAGAAGGCTGTGCACCCAGATCGCCCTGAGAAGCAGTTCCCACACGCCAACCCGAGCCTGAGCCGCCATCGCTGTCTTTCCAGCGGGTCCGCCCAGCCCGCTGGTGCTACTGCTGCTTGTGTGGAAGAGCCTTCCTGGGTGGTGGGAGCTCCCTGTGGATCAGGGTGAGTCCGCAGAGGATGAGGAAGACTCCTCCCCACCACAAGACCTCCTGGCACTCTCCATACAACACAAAACCCAGGAAGGCCTGCAGGACAGAGAGAGCTGTGAGGCTGGGCAGGCACGTGCCCGCAGGATGCGACCACGGTGGGTGGGCACCACCTGACTCCCCTGTGGCTGAGTGCCCTCCTAGGGCGGGAGGAAAGGTCTGGAGCTGGAAGTCTTGGGCCTGAAACCCATCTGTTACCTTCAGCATATCTCACCTGGAGAAGTGGGGAGGGTACCTCCTCACAGCATCGGACCCAGCAAAGTGCACAAGAAAGCCCAGCAGAGGCCGGCAGCCAGGCCCAGCACACAGCTGGTCCACCAAGTCCTCCCTGCCTGGACTGCAGGGCTGAATGGCTCAGCCCCACCTGGGAGAGAAGAACCTCGACCCTCCACATCTCCTGCCTGAGTTCACAGACCCCTGAGGAACAGCAAGCAAGTAGGCTTTTGACAGTTGGACTTCATCCCCATCTAACTTGAGAATTCCTCCAAGTTAGAGATTAGAGGAGCAGCCACCGCGAGTCAAGACACAGCCCAACCTCTGCTTCAGTTCCTGGCCCTTCTCCTATGTAGAAGCAGGGGTTGCCCAAGGACAACCCACCCAGAACCCTCCCAGAGCCCAGGTTTGGGACAGAGAAACTGTACGCTCAGGCTACTCACCGAGCTGAGGATATTTGAAAAAGTCACTGTGACAGATGCAATGGCTGAAGACATGGAGAAACTGAGGCCCCGGCTAAAGAACGTCCACATCAGAGAATTGGTGGTAGCCATCACAATAATGCCTAAGACGCAGAAGCCCACGTTCACCTGCAGGAGAAAGTGTCACTGCAGCCACGGCCAGCCCTGGGCAGCATGACCGGCAGACCCCCTCACAGCAGCCAGGGTCATGGTTACTGCTGGCAGCCGGGCCACCACAGCCTGGGGGTCCTCAGAGCTTTCCTGCACAGGGCTTCACTTAACCCTCAGCAGGGCGCACACCCATTTAACAGCCATGAAACAACCTCTTAGAAGACAGCTATTTGGCCATCTTGCCAGCCGTGTGACCTTGGACAGAAGTAAAATGCGAATCCATACCAGTTATCTTCTATTGAACACCAGTCCCTTATTGGCCTCACAGTGACGAGTGCATGAAGTTCAGTCTCAGCAGGCCAAGTGGTTATTGCTCAGTCTGAGGGATGAGTAAATCAGGGGCGGAGTCGTCACTTCCCGGGATCAGGTAAAGCATGAATTAGTCGTCTCCCCACCCCCACCCCCATTCTGTGAAGGCTAAAACCCACTCAGGCCGGTCCCACTGGGCATTCTTGGGCTTTTACTCTGTACCAGGCCCTGTGCTAAGTGTTTTAAGTAAATTTTCATTTATTCCTTAACTTCATTTTACAGATAAAGAACCTGAGGCATTAAGTAACCTGCCTAAAACGCCACAGCTGGGGGGAGCCGCCAGGATTCAGGCCCAGGAAGTGTGGCTCCATGATCTAAACTAGGACACAGCCATGCCTAGGGAAACCACACGGGGGACTATTTGACTGGTGACCCCAGGCATCACTTGGAGAACTTGCAGATATTTTTCTTTTTTTTTTTAAAGGAGAGCACTGAAAGAAGAGAGGATCTTTAGAAGCCTCCTACACAAAGGATATGCAGACCCCTTGTTTGGTTTTGAGTTATAAACCTGCCTGCAGACAGCTGCTTCCCCTGAGGATGGTGCCCATGCACCTCATCCTCTTACTTCTCATCAGCAGCTGAATATACAGTCTTAAGGATGGAGTGTCTCTGTATAATTTACACAGAAGCATTTTATGTGCCAGTGCCAGCCTGCTTATGTAAAGGCTTTTGACGGTCTGATGCACAACTAAGAAGACTAGAAAAACCTCATGGCTCATAGTCACTCATCTTACTTTGGACCACTTACTCCAAGAATTACACCCAACAGGATACCAACCTCGAGCATGGCAGCTCCCACTGGATTAGCTTAAACCTAAAGAATCAACCTGTCTACTGCCCAGGTCAGGGCCTAACCCTGGGTTGCAGATGCAATGAAATCTCTTTAACAAGCAGAAGGTGGCCTATGACTCGCGATGGGAGAGGCAAAGGTACGCCTTTAGCAGACATGGGGAGGCAGTTCAGGAGTTCTCAACATCGGGGTTATGTCCATAATGTTTCTCTCAGTCTCCCTTATACCTAGGATATCCCAAATTCCCAAGTTTCCGCCAGCAGGGGAGATCAGTCAAAACAGCCATTAACTACGGAGTTAAACAGATGGGCAACAGATATCTCACCTTTACAGTCACGTGGAGAGAAATGTTCGGGCACAAAGGGCTTAAAATGAGAGGTAGAGAGTGGATGTAGAAGGTGTGCGTCTTCCCCGAGAGTGAACTAGCCCAGTCGGAGGACAGATTTTAGGTCCCAGATAAGGGTACAAGCCTCAGTCCCCGAAGTCTCTTACCACCTACAATGGACGTGGGTTGGGCGTGATATGGAGTCGAGGGATGCCTTCCTGCCCACGCTGTCAGAAGTGCCCGGCTGCGGAGTGGGCCAAACAGGCCAGCGCGGGTGAGGCGGCCCCCCTGCGCCCCCAGCCCCGCTCCATCCCGAAGCCCCGCTGCCCTGCAGCGCCCCTCCTGCCCCGGCCCCACCCGCCGGCCCGCCGCAGCGGCGCCCCCGGCTCGACCTCGCTGCCGAAGGCCAGCTTGGCGGAGGCGGCAGCCAAGGCCCCGAACGCGCCGGCGCACAGGCAGTTGAACACGCCCCAGAAGCGGCGCCGCATCGCTCCCGCCTGGAGGTGCGGGGGGAATCCGGCGGAGGCGTCGGGGTAGGCAGCCGCGCACACCCCTCCGCCGGCGACCTGAGGCCTTCCCTCCATGGTGCCCGCCACCACCTCTCCGGGCGCCAGCCGCGCCAGGCACTGGCTGGGCCGAGATCGCTCCGCGATTGGACGGCGGCCTCACGTGACGAGACGCTCACGCGAGAGGGGTGACCAATTGAGGCTCCGCGAGGGCCTCGAGGGGCGGGTCCGCCGGCCGAGCCAAGGACAGCCTTCTCCCGAGGGTGGCCGGCTTTCCGTGTTACGTTTAGGCTTTCCGAGGAGCACTGCCGGACCGGTGTCCAAGGCTGACTGGTACTGTGGTTGCTGTTGTAGAATAACTCTTCGCTGCCTAGCAGTTTCAATCCTTGTCACTCGGTGTGGTCCAGCATCAGCTTCCCGTGGGAATATGAGTAAAACGCCCAATCCCAGGCTCCGCCCCACATCCATTGAATTAGCGTATGCATTTTAGCAAGACCCCCAGGAGTCTGGCCTGCACCTTCTAGTTCGAGAAGCGCAAAACGTAGAGATACTTCGGCAGAGGGCGCTAGAGACCGGCAGATTCAGCGAGAAAGCGGGGGTGGGGGGCTGGGGGGTAGGGATGGTTAGGGCTTTTTTTTTTTTTTTACATCTTCATTGGAGTATAATTGCTTTACAATGTTGTGTTAGTTTCTGCTGTCTAACAAAGTGAATCAGCTATATGTATACATATATCCCCGTGTCCCCGCCCTCTTGCCTCTCCCTTCCACCCTCCCTATCCCACCGCTCTAGGTGGTCACAAAGTACTGAGCTGATCTCCCTGTGCGATGCAGCTGCTTTCCACTAGCTATCTATTTTACATTTGGTAGTGTATATATGTCAATGCCACTTTCTCACTTTGTCCCAGCTTACCCTTCCCCCTCCCCGTGTCCACAAGTCCATTCTCTACCTCTGCGTCTTTATTCCGGTCCTGCCCCTAGATCCATCAGAACCTTTTTTTTTTTTTAGATTCTATATATATATGTGTGTTAGCATACTGTATTTGTTTTTCTCTTTCTAACTTACTTCACTCTGTATGACAGACTCTAGGTCCATCCACCTCACTACAGATAACTCAATTTCGTTTCTTTCCATGGCTGAGTAATATTCAATTGTATATGTGCCACATCTTCTTTAACCATTCACCTGTCGATGGACACTCAGGTTGCTTCCATGTCCTGGCTATTGTAAATAGTGCTGCAATGAACATTGTGGTACATGACTCTTTTTGAATTATGGTTTTCTCAGGGTATATGCCCAGTAATGGGATTGCTGGGTCATTCGGTAGTTCTATTTTTAGTTTTTTAAAGAACCTCCATAGTGTTCTCCATAGTGGCTGTATCAATTTACACTCCCACCAACAGTGCAAGAGGCATCCCTTTTCTCCACACCCTCTCCAGCATTTATTGTTTGTAGATTTTTTTGATGATGGCCATTCTGACCGGTGTGAGGTGATACCTCATTGTAGTTTTGATTTGCATTTCTCTGATGATTAGTGATGTTGAGCATCCTTTCATGTGTTTGTTGGCAATCTGTATATGTTCTTTGAAGAAATGTCTATTTAGGTCTTCTGCCCATTTTTGGATTGGGTTGTTTGTTTTTTTAATATTGAGCTGCATGAGCTGTTTATATATTTTGGAGATTAGTCCTTTGTCTGTTGACTCGCTTGCAAATATTTTCTCCCATACTGAGGGTTGTCTTTTTGTCTTGTTTGTGGTTTCCTGTAGCCTCTCTGCTATGGTTGGGGTTGTGTTCCTGTCCTGATAGTTGTTTGGCATGGGGCGTCCAGCACTGGAGCTTGCTGGCCGTTGGGTGGAGCTGGGTCTTAGCATTGAGATGGAGATCTCTGGGAGAGCTCTCACCGATTGATATTACATGGGGCCAGAAGGTCTCTGGTGGTCCAATGTCCTGAACTCGGCTCTCCCACCTGAGGCTCAGGCCTGACACCAGGCCAGAGCACCAAGACCCTGTCAGACACATGGCTCAGAAGTAGAAAAGGGAGGAAAAAAGAAAGAAAAAAAATAAAAGAAAATTATTAAAATATAAAATAATAATGATAATAAGAAGAGAGCAACCAAACCACTAAACAAATCCACCAATGCTAACAAGTGCTAAAAACTGTACTAAGATAAACATAAAAATCAGAAACAAATCATTTGCAGACAGCAAACCCCAAGTCCACAGTTGCTCCCAAAATCCACTGCCTCCATTTTGGGATGATTCATTGTCTATTCAGGTATTCTACAGATGCAGGATACATCAAGTTGATAGTGGGGATTTAATCTGCTGCTCCTGAGGCTGCTGGGAGAGATTTCCCTTTCTCTTCTTTGTTAGCACAGCTCCTGGGGTTCAGCTTTGGATTTGGCCCCGCCTCTGTGTGCAGGTCGCCCTCAGGCAACTGTTCCTGCCCAGACAGGATGGGGTTAAAGCTGCGGCTTATTAGGGGGCTCTTGCTCATTCAGGCTGTGGGGAGGGAGGGGTATGGAAGTTATGATTGGAATGTGGGGCGAGCCTGCAGCAGCAGCCAGTGTGACGTTGTAGCAGCCTGAGGCTCACTGTGTGTTCCCTCTGGGGAACTTGTCCCTGGATCACAGGACCCTGGCAGTGGCGGGCTGCACAGGCTCCCAGGGGTGTGTGGATAGTGACCTGTGATTGCACACAGGATTCTTGGTGGCTACAGCAGCAGAGTTAGCGTTTCACGCCCATCTCTGGGGTCCAAGCTGATAGCCGCGGCTCGTACCTGTCTCTGGAGCTCTTTTAGGCAATGCTCTGCCTTCTGTGGGCAGACAGGGAAGGAATCCCCCCTCCTAGTGCACCCTGAAACAATGGTCTCTTGCCTCTTAGGCAAGTCCAGACTTTTTCCCAGACTCACTCCCGGCTAGCTGTGGCACACTAGCCCTCTTCAGGCTGTGTTCACGCAGCCAACCGCAGTCCTCTCCCTGGGATCTGACCTCCGAAGCCCGAGTCTCAGCTCCCAGCCCCCACCCGCCCTGGTGGGTGAGCAGACAAGCATCTCAGGCTGGTGAGGGCCGGTCGGCACCTGTGTGGAAATCTCTCTGCTTTGCCCTCTGCACCCCTGTTGCTGCGCTCTCCTCCGTGGCTCCGAAGCTTCCCCACGGCCACCCACCGTCTCCCCCAGTGAAGGGGCTTCCTAGTATGTGGAAACTTTTCCTCCTTCACAGCTCCCTCCCAGTGGTGCAGGTCCTGTCCCTAATCTTTTGTCTCTGTTTTTTCTTTTTTCTTTTGCCTACCCAGGTATTTGGGGGAGTTTCTTGCCTTTTGGGAAGACCGAGGTCTTCTGCCAGCGTTCAGTAGGTGTTCTGTAGGAGTTGTTGCACATGTAAGATGTATTTTTGATGTATTTGTGGGGAGAAAGGTGATCTCCATGTCTTACTCCTCAGCCATCTTGAAGGTCCCCTAATTAGGGCTTCTGACAAATCAAATGGCCCAGATGGATACAGGCTCATTGTAGGAAATTTAGAAAGTATAATTAGAAGAACATGTCATCCATAATCACCCTGATCAGATAATCAGGATTAACATTACTTCCAATTCCCAATGCACTTAAATACTTGTAAAATGTTTTCGTTTAAGAAGTATACGTTTGTTTGAAAATAAACTGCTGTTTAAGTATATAAAGGCCTACTTCTGTCCTCCAGGAAAGTCATTGTTCTTACAGGTCTTCTTCTCTATGTATAGTTTCATATATAGTACACGTTAAAAAATAGTTCACATAGGGCTTCTCTGGTGGCGCAGTGGTTGAGAGTCCGCCTGCCGATGCAGGGGACATGGGTTCGTGTCCCAGTCTGGGAAGATCCCATATGCCGCAGAGCGGCTGGGCCCATGAGCCATGGCTGCTGAGCCTGCGTGTCTGGAGCCTGTGCTCCGCAACGGGAGAGGCCACAGCAGTGAGAGGCCCGCGTACCGCAAAAAAAAAAAAAAAAAAAAAAAAAAAAGTTCATATAATATGTATGGGGCTTTTTTTTCTAAACCTGATTTCACAGCGCACATACTGTCCAGCAGCATTCTTTTTTTCCATTCAGTAAGTTTTCATGTTAGTCCTTATTTGCCATCCTCTCTCACAAGGTGGCTTTGTGGCTCCAGTAAAAGCATGGATAACCCTGATAACTCCTATGTGGTACAAATTGTCCTATTTTGCAGTTGAGAAAATTGAGGCTCAGAGAGGCACTGTGCCACTGAACAAAGAGCTGTGTGAACCCCAGCTCAAAGGTGATCCCAGCTCTTATGTTACTTGGAACCTACAGGAAATCGAATTGTGTTGCACTGGATCAACTCTGCATGCACTATAAAGAGTTTTCTTAGAAGAAATGATGCCTCTGCTAGCATTAGCAGTTGAGCATCTCAGAGCCACCACCTATGTAAAGCAGACTCTGCTACTCCCCTACCTTTGCACCACTCCTGTGGTTGTGTGTTTGTTTCCCTCTTAGCCTCCTAGAGGGCAAGGACACATTTATTTCTTCTCTAGGTCACCAGCACAGGGCCCTGTTCTGGTGATGATGGTTGAATTGATGCCATCTTTGGACACTCTGCTGGGAAGTGATTTCTGTCTCCTGGACAAATCTACTGTGTGCATAAGTATCACCTGCTAGCAGTCTTGTTAAAATGAAGATTCTGATTCAGGTCTGGAGCTGGATTGAGGTTCTGCATTTCTAACAGACTCCCAGATGATGTTAATGCTGTGGGGCAGTGGGGACCACACTGAGTAGCAAGGCTGTAATTGATCGTTGCCCTCAGCGCACTCACAGGCCTTGCAACATACTTGCCTCCTTCACTGGGCTCCATCAAGCAGATGCTATGCACGTTTTCTCTTTGTTCCTGCCACAGTGCCCAATATTGTGACCAGCTCATGTCCTTGCTACAGACGTCTGACTGAACAGACTATGATTTGATTATAAAAGATAAATAAAATTTTAAAACTTGCTGACAGCCTCATGGTGCAAACTAGA